TTTTGTCTCAGCAGTGAGACAAAAAAAACTAAGACGTAGACTTTGTCAGATTTATAAATATTAGCATCGACTTTATTGGCTGAGCATCCCTAATAAAAAAATCTGATATTTGAAATGCTGTAAAACTTTTAAAATTTTTGAGCATCATTTAGGCCAGTAATGACAAACTGTTAGTGCTACAGTGTACTGCAGCATCGGTGCCATAGGTTTGCCACCACTGATACAGGTACACAAAAAAGTTTTGGATTGCAGAGCACTAGGATTTCAGATTTTTAAATTAGGTTTGCTCAACCTGTACTAATATTTGTCGTTTATATGTATTAGAGTTTCTGTTCCAAATTTGTGTCTTTTTATTTGTTGTATGTTAAACTTTTGTTTGAACCAAAGTCTTTAATTTTAATGTTGTTGATTTTGTGAAGTTTTAAAAAATAATGCTTTGGGGTCTTGTTTTTAGGTTCTTCTCTGTGATGAGATTATAAGAAAAATTCTGTATTTTTAAAAACTTTCCAAAATTTACCTTTCATATGTAACTATAATTAATTGGGAATTGACTTTTACATGTGGTATGTTGTAGGTATTCAATTTCATTTTCTTTTACATTAATATTCAGAGATTTTATAAAGTGTTCAATCCTCTCTTCATTTATCTGCATTCCACCTTTGTTTCTGTTAATGTTTGGTGTGTGAAGTCATATATTATTTTTCTACTAATGTCTTTGTCACTATATCAATACCATATTGTCCTAAAAATTAATTTTATGGCAAATTTGGGTATCTTATAGGACAAGTTAGCCTTATTGTTTTTTTGTTTTTTTTTGTTTTTTTGTTTTTTTGTTTTTTGGTACCAGGGATCGAATTCATGACTTTGCACTTAACAGGTAAATGCTTGAGCCACTGAGCTAAATCCCTGGCCCTAAAATGTCTAAATTCTTTTTTTTTTTTTGGTAGCCTTATTGTTTTTCACTGTCTTATTATTTGTGATTCATTATTCTTTAATATAAATTGTAGTTTTTTCTTCTCAATTCCCTAAAAAACCTTTCTGGCCTTCTCGTAGATAACACATGAAATTTATGAATTTGGGAGAGAATTGATACTTTTATGATAGTATATGACTCTAAACATCTATTTATATAGTTACGTTTTTATTTTATTGATACATGTTTGTAGTACATGAAGTGTACGTTCATCTTAGGGAATAGGTACGTGTAGATAATGCAGCTTCATTTTTTTAAGTCTCTTCCCCTTATCACCTATCTCCTTTCCTTCTCTAATTCTCTTTTGCCCATTATCATTATACTGTTATTTTTAGTTCATGTTTATGACATATTAAGTGAGCCCATGTTTAGGCTCACTTGGGTACTGGTACATATATGTGACATGTCTTACATTTTTTACTTTCCTCTCCTTGCTCGCTCATCTTGCTGGACTCCTTCCCATTTGCAGAAGATCTATCCTTTGTCTCCTATTAGTACTTTATTTTGCTCTTTATTTGTACTTTACCCTACTTAAGTAAGAAATAGTATGTGCTATTTAAATTTGTATGTCTTGATTTATTTCACTTACATATTTTCCAGGTGTATCTGTTTTCCTCCAAATGGCTATTTGGAAATTATCCTTCTTTCTAGCGGAGTAATAGTCTATTAAGTAAAGACATCACATGTTCTTTATTCATTCATCTGTTGATGGACATATAGGTTGCTGGGCGGCTTGAACTTGCACAATATCCCATTAGGCAGCTTATACCACTGGTGGTAAAAGTGGTACACTCATGCCTAGGACAGTCATGGATGTACCACCAGTGGTTCAAGCCACCCAACAACGAGATATATGAATTATTACTCTTCTTTAAATGTCTAGCTCCAAAAAAGGAGAAACAAAGGTTCTATCTTCCCTTAGTGCTATGATATATACTACTTATAAGAGCTACTGCTATGGAGAGTACAAAACAGATGTAGTAGTCCTTTAGGATACTGCCAGACCAACCAAAATGCACAACCCCAAACTTCTGGGACATCACCTCATTGTTACCCTACTAGGCACCAGTCAGTCACTCTGGAGATATGGGCTTCTGTAAAGTGGGGTCTGATAAGTGAGGCAAGGCAGTTGATTGATGTTGGAGACTACTACGAAGCAACTCTGAGCAGGATTTAAAATTAACTAATTGGCTTTCTATGTTTATCTGTGAGTCTGTCCTAGGCTTAGGCCCCTTGCCTGGTGACAGGAGTTGATTCATAGTAAGTGAACCTCTGTGAATCACTGGTCCTGGCTGAGGCCTGTAGTGGCCTGTGATGCCAGAGATACTTCAAAAGGCAAGACAAGGCCACAGCTGAGGACACCTTGGCTCCAGCACTAATAAATAGAGACTGCAGCTAAAGGAATCTCACTCCTGCAGTGGCACTCCTACCATTAATGTCATTCTGGAGATAAGACGGTTCTCCTAAATTGGCATAATTTATTACTTGGAGAAGTCTTTAAAATGACTCCTTGGGTCCTGCTCATTTTCCATACTTTCCTCAGTTTCCCCACTCTTTGTTTCGGACCTAATAAATATGGGCAGTCCAGAGAAGTCTTCGTCTTAGGCCTCAGAGTCTGAAACTCAGCTAAAGGGTTCTGACCCTCCTGGAGCCCTAAAGTCATACCACTTGTCTCATTTTATTTAAGCTTTCACCATATACTCATTTGGGCGATTGAGGACCCAGATCACAACTTGATAGGTTTATATACTCCTTTCACTCACGAAAGGTTGGTAGCCCTTACCTTTATGAAGTACTCTTGTAGCTTCAAGAGTATGTGATCAGGTTGCAGTGTTCTAAAGTTGTTTATTTCAAGTACTCTTTCTAGTTCAGTTTTTATTTTGGGAGGGTCTGACCTCCAGATTTTACTATTCTGCCACATATCAATGATTGCTTTTGAAGTACAAATGCTTTAAATTTAATTAAGCCTGTTTCTTAATTTTTTTTATGGATCATGCTTTGGTTCCCTGTCTAATAATTCTTTACAAGAATCATGGCAGCAAAGGTTTTCTCATACGTTTATTAACATGGATGGACAACAGACCTCCCAGTGCAGGTAGGTCTCAAAAGAACTGTCCAGGATCTGGGGACAGGTTGGCTATGTGGAACTTATGGAAAGAACTGAAATACTGGTGCTGTTTGGAAACTTTTGGTGAGTTCTGTTCCATGCTGTGAGGCTATAGGAAAAGCTGCCTTCTAACTTAAGCTGCAAGTTTGTTGAAGGACTATCTAGTCTAGACATGTGGCTATACAGTTTTGTACAGAATATGGAAGTTCGCATACCCATGTTACTGAGTCTGACCCAGCTGGAAATAACAGGAGAACCCCTTTCTCCTTCAGTATCCTGTCAGTGTCTTCATTGTGAGAACCTAAATAGTCTGATGTTATTTTAAAGGGGAAATGCACAAAAGACCTCTTTTATCACAGAGCATATATTGAAGGATGAATATGGGTGTAAGAGCCAAAAAAAGTCAGCTGGGTGTGGTGTTGCACACCTGTAATTCTGGAGGCTGATGTAGGTGTGAGGCCACCCTGGGCCACATGGTGAGTTCAAGGCCAGTTTGGACTACATAGAGATCTGATTTCAAGGTTTTGAGACATTATACAACATACATCTTTGCTGACAATTATGTGAGTCTGTGAATCACATATACTGTGAAGTTTTGTTTTGTTTTTGGCAATACGAGGGGTTGAACCCAAGGACTTCACACTGAGCTTTACACTAATTCAGCTCCTTATTTTTATTTATTTTATTTTAAAGATAGTAAAATTCAGCAAAATAAGACAGTATGAAGCCAACCAAAACAATGCAGCAGAATTGATACAGAACTTCAGAGAAAGATGCCAGGATAATAGTAATAGGCACCATAGTATATCTTATTACCTTCGCAATACTTATCCATTCAATCAAGTATAGCAAAATTAAACCAAAAACAGAACATTATAAAACCAATCAAAGCAGAATATTGAATAGAGCAAAATAATTAATCAGAATAAAACAGCACAGTGAAGGCAATATTGGCCTTCAAAGACAAGATAGAAGGGGCTGGGGATTTAGCTCAGCGGCATAAGCCCCTGCCTTGCAAGCAGGCAGTAGTGAGTTCGATCCCTGGTACTGATAAAAAGGAAAAAGACAAAAAAAAAAAAAAAAAAAAAAAGACAAGTTAGAAGGAAACTCCCCATTTTTGCTATATTGCATCCTGTCATCCTCCCAAGAGATGCTCAGACCGCTGGTCCCTACATAATCAACCAAACAGCACACCCATTTAGTTGCTTTATGTTCCTTAGTTGCTATCATCTCAGGCTGTCCTCATTACCATCCGGTGGCTTATGGGAGGGGAGTGGAGAGTATATATGGATGATGTTTGATTTGCAGCCAGTGCGCCTGTAGGCTCACAGGAAGTGCTATTGGCCTTTTCTCTTCCTAGAGGGCGGGCAGTTTATTTCTTGGTTGGTCCCTCAAGTCCCAGCATTTTATTTTTATTTTTAAATTTTAAGCACTGAGTTACCCAAGTGGAACCTGAACTTGTGATCCTCTTGCCTCAGCTGCCCTTTAGTGCTAGGATTCTAGGTGTGTGACACCATGCATGGATCTTCTTGTGGAACTATTAGACACAGAGTTACACCTGTGTCCCTCATTTGGTTGCTCTAGAAAACTGCATAATGCTTACAAACTAAAATTTCATTTTCCATATAGTCAAACAAGATATAAATGACTCATGAGTGCTGTGTGCATAACATGGGACAATGCATTGCTATGACCTGGAAAGCAGGAAGCTCACTATAAATAATGGTTACAGAAGACACTTTTCTCAACAACACTCTGCAATATAAAGAGTAATTTAGACATTTTTTTGCCATTGACTTACAATGAATTAGGTTACAGTACTACCAAAGGAGATTGCAATAAAGTATTTGAGACAAAAGTTACTATTTAGTAACTCATTGGTTATAAATAATACACTCATGTAACTTTTCTGTGTTCCAGAAACCTTTTTCCAAGGACAAAGGAACTTAAATCAGTTGTTCGTAGTGCCCCTGGTTGGAAATTATTTGGTAAAGTCCCTCCCAGAGAGAATCTTCAGAAAACTTCCAAAATAATTCAGCAGGTAAGTATTAATGTGGCTCTATAGTTTGTTGTGCCTTTTAATCATTCTTTTTTATAATTAACCATGTACATTTTCATACTTATTTTTCTACATACAGATTTTGGGTTTTACAATTATTTATAGCAGTTGTATTTTTAAAAATGTCACAATATTTTCTATTTATGGTTCTAAAAATTCTTTAAAGCAGTGGTGGCGAATCAGTGGTACGTGTGCCACAGAGGGCTGTTTGTTACTGAAAGCTCTAAAAGGTTTGCCAGCACCACCTTAAAGTAATAGAACATTGATATTTTTTTCCCAGTTATTCTTTGGATAGCTTTAAAAAAGTCAATCATTCTCACCACAAGTTCTAACTCCACTTGACAACTTCTGCTAAAGACACAGATTTTATACAGCAAACACTGAGATTATCTGATGGAATTCCTTCCATTGTTCTGTCTAAACTAAGGAATTTGCAAGTGAGAAAAATTGCCACACAATGTATTTGGAGTAATTTACAACTTATTTCTTCTAATACTCACATTAATACCCATGTTCTTGTGTTCTTAAGACTTTCAGGTCTTAAAGTGTGCTATTCAGTACTAAATTAGTGAGCCTGCAGAACAGTGAGACTGGATCAGTTTTAGAATTCAGAGAAACTGTTGCTTAGAAGGGGATATAAAATTAATTCTATTTTTCTCCTTTCCATACTTTACTAAATTAAACACAGAGCATCTATAAAAATCAGTGAAGGGGCTGGGGATTTAGTTCAGTGGCATAAGCACCTGCCTTGCAAGCAGGCGGTCGTGAGTTCAATCCCCAGTACTGATAAAAAGAAAAAAAAAAAAAATTCAGTGAAGGCAAAAATCATCTCAAAGTGGACAAAATATCTTTCTATAAGGATTTAATAGTGTTCTTTTTATTGGTCAAAAGAAAAACAACTTTCCCAAATCATACAGGACAATGGTTTTGGGATCTTTAAAAACATTGTTGGGCCTGGGATACAGCTCAATGATGCAGCCACCTGCTTGGCAAGCATGAAGTCCTGAGTTCCAGTCTCAGTACCTGTCCCCCCTCCATTGTAGTTAATTTTAGTTATAAGTAATTAAAATAATGAATGGTTCATTTAACTACCAGGACATAAAAATAAAGTGCTGTGATCGTCACACTGGGTGCCCAGGTATTCTGTTGTGCTATAGCTAAAGGACAGGACAACTATAAGGTTTAAATGTTTGGAGGCAAAGCCAGTGATATTCTACATTTGTTTGATATGGTATAGAAAATTAACCTGGAGACAAACACAGTTTCAGTATCAAGTATTAAGTGATTTGTATTTTTCTGAGGCATCATATTTGTGAATCTGCTCAGAGGCTGCTGTGATAAATTCTAGATACTATACAAAATTAGTATGGGACTGGAAATAATGGGGAGTGGTTTTATCTAATTTGATTTCAAGATGTGACAAATATTACAGCATAAAGGATGTGTACATGTCCAATTAATAATTTATTTTGATTATTTAAACATGAAATAAAATTTATTTCAACTTATGTATATTTTTTAATGCTTATTTTAGTGTTACATTAATTCTTAGTTCTTTGGACATACTACTTATTAAGCAAAATGGTCCATTTATTTATTTATTTTGGTTTAAGGGGTGATGTAAAAAAAATTATTGAGGCACTAAGAATGTCATTAACCAAGAAAGCTGGAGAATCTCTGCTATTGAGAACCCCTGCTATCTTAAATTTTAGCTGCTATAACTTTTGCCTGGTTTTTCCTGAAGGCCAAGTTTGCCCTCTAGAGGCCAAACAGAAGTCATGGTATTGAAGTTTTATACAAATGCTGTAGTTTTGACTTTTTGGCAATTTATCTTAAATATTCGTGTGCATACGTTTTTATACCTGTGTAAATTAACACATTTTGAATATTTTATTACTATAGGTCTCTAAATAATTTACTGATTGATAACTGTCTTCAACTGATAATTACTTTGCTTTTAATCTGCTATGTTCATTTTGGAAAATTGAGGCCTATATATGAAATTGAATGGTAGGCCTTCAATATATATGTGAAAATTTTGAGTGGCAGATACTGTCCATATGAGAAGATTAGAGCTGAGATGCAGTTACCATTATCTACATTCCCTTCTCCAACATTTTGAGATAATGATTACTCTTAGGCATGTATTTTTAAGTTTTCCAACTGTGTTTAGGTACAAAGTGTGTATTTTGCTGCTTTTTCCATAGTTCTGCTGTTGCCTAGAGGGCATGATGAATAGTCAAATCACTGTTCTCTGATCATTATCCTCCCTGAAAATATGCGTCAGTTCTTTTGTGTGATGTAACATGTTTTTGTGTATGTGGTACCAAGGATCAAACTCACGACTTTGCGCTTGCCAGGCAGACGCTTATGCCACTGAGCTAAATCCCCGGCCCAATACAACATGTTTTTGTCCCTCCCTTTTCTGCTTTCTCTTTCACGTTTGTGTGTGTTCTCTACTCTTTATTGTCTAACTTTGCTGTCCTCTTCCCTACAATTGTCATTGTCAAAGTGGGAATGATTTTCTATTATGGTAAATATACAACTTTGGGTCATTATTCCAACTTAAAAATACTTTTTTATGGTCTTGGAGTTTTGAATTTTGTAAAACATTATGAATGTAAGCCTATATTTGAAGCCATCACTGCCTTAACAGTGGTGTAGTGACATGGTGGTTGTAGGCCAAGCAACTGTGCAACCTGAGGCAGGAGGATTGCAAGTTCAAAGCCAGGCTGGACAACTTACTGAAACCTTGTCTCAAAACTATAAAAATAGGGGCTGGGGATTTAGCTCAGTGGCATAAGTACCTGCCTTGCAAGCAGGCGGTCGTGAGTTCGATCCCCGGTACCGATAAAAATGAAAAAGACAAAAAAAAAAAAAAAAAAAAAAAACCTATAAAAATAGCGCCAGACATTTAGCTCTGCAGTAGATTATTTGCCAAGCACAGCTTTAATCCAGAGTATCACAGAAAGCAAACAAATGATGTTTCTTGAGTGGTAATACAGTAAGATTTAAGGTAGTACTATTATTTCATTGAATAATAATTTTTAGAGCAGTTATTCAGAAAGAAGTTGCCATATATAGAGTACTGTTATTGTTATTGTTATTATTATTGGTACCGGAGATCAAATTCACAATCTTGCGCTTGTGCTTACAACACTGAGCTAAATCCCCAGCCCCTAGAGTACTACAATTGAGCCAGATTTTTTTTTTTTTTTAATGTACTAGGGACCTCGTGCTTGCCAGACAGAAGCTTGTGCCAGTGACCTAAACCCCCAGGGCCTGAATCAGATTTTTTTTTCAATCTACAGATGACCATAAGGTTACATACTAAGTAAATAGGAAAGTAAAGTTTGATTTAGAAACTTTTTTCTTTTGTTAATGACACAAATACCACAATTATACTCTTTATAAAATATAAAATGTTAGTATATATCTGTTAGTTACTTTTTCTTATTACTGAGACAAAATACCTGATTTCTAAAGTTAGGAAAGGAAAGGTTTACTTCTTACAGTTCTGGAGGTTTCACCGTACTCAGTTGGCTCCAAGGCAGGGTGGCATGGCAGGCCGCAGTTCGTGGCAGCTGCAAACTGCAAGGTAGAAACTGGCAAGAGAGAGAGAGACACATTCTTCCCACCATTACATCTTAGCCTGACTCTACCACTAGGCTGATGTAGCACACCACCAATCAGAGCACTAGACAATGAGCCAATCACAAATGTATAATTACATGGGGCTTGGGGACCACTGACATAAACCATGACAATATCTCATTTCACTTCTACATTTTTAGGCCTTTTTTTTTTTTGAACTGGGGATTAAATACATGACCTAGTACTTGCCAGGCAGGCACTTACGCTGCTGAGCTAAATCCCTGGTGCTTTTAGGCCTTTTAAAATTCATTTTTAAAAAATTTTTAGTGTTTGCATTTTTTAAAAATCAAAACAGGAAAAAAAGGATAGAAATGATACAGAATTTCAAAAAAGAAAAAAACGGTAGGGAATTAACACTAGTTAATATATTGCACATTGTTATCTCAGAACTAGCTCAGGTTACAAAATCTAGACACAAAAGTGATCAATCAAGCAGTGACAGCACAAACTTCTTTTTGATGAATTAAGATTAGTAATATAGTTATATAGTGTCCATATACACACACATAAATTTATATATGTTTACCAACATACATATAGTCTTTTCCTTTCTTCATTTTTCCTTTTCTGTATCTTAATCGTCCTGTCCTTTTGAGTACTTTCTTTCCCTTTCATTATTAAAATATCTGTTGTACATTTTGTATCTTGTTACTCTCTCAGTTTTTATTATTATTACTTATTTTTTACACCAGAGAGACAATGCGATATTTACAAATGTAAGTCTGATTTATTTCACTTATGAGTATAGTCTTAAGTTGCCTCCATTTACCTATAAAAGCTTCAAGATTATCCTTTTATAGCTGAGTAATAGTGCATTGTATAAAAACAGTACATCTTTTTCATCCATTTTGTGGTTGATAGGCATTTTGGCTGTTTCCAAGATTTAGCAATTACAAATTGTGCTGTTGTATACATGGGTGCACATATATTGCTGCAATATGACAATTTCAGTTTTTCTGGGAAAATACCCAGGAGGGGAATAGTTAGGTTGAGTGGGACTTCCAATCCTAGTTTTTTGAGGAATCACCATACTGATTTCCTCAGTGGCAGCACCCATCTACCCTCTACAGTCCTTGGTGCAACTATTGGAACAGCTGAAGGTTCAGTGCTCCCGCTGCAGCACCCGAATCTGAGTGGCAGCAACTTACCAAGCCATCTGCAATCCTGCCACTTCAACTCACTGGAAACACACTTGCACTGAGAATGAGAGTCAGCGAACCGAATGGAGAACTGAGCTGGCAGGGAACCTGCATTGACCTGTGGTGAGTGACAGGAATAAAACCATTCCACAGAGAAGGGGGCTCCAACAGATCACATTCTTGGACCAG